CCCCAAAACCCCAAAACCCCAAAACCCCAAAACCCCAATTTCTTGTTTTAGAGTTGAATTAAGATGTTTATGGCGGTTCACAGCTTGGTTTGGAGTAAAATTTTATAGTTAATATGGTCTAGTGGCTGTATGGGTTGTAGTACAGCATCCTTTTGGATTCCTTTTCTATCCGTTTATTTACAATCTCAAGCTCAGCTTCTAATGCCATATTCTTTAGAAGACGACCAGTCCTTCGTTTCTCCAGTAATATTCGGTCCTTCTTATTATATTCTTTTTCTTGCTGGTGAAACTCGGGGTTTGATCATGCTTTCCAGAGTTTGTCTCAGACAAACTGCCCTGTTGTTGTTTTTACTGTGGCATTGTCAAAAATTAATCTTGGCCTTACTCTATTTTTCTGTCTTGTTTTTGGAGGATCAGCAAACATGTTAGCTTCTCTTTCCTGTTGGTCAAGATCATTAACATTAAACTGCACCGAGGAACTGCTAGATTCTGATAATTTTTCGAGTAAGATAGCTTCTTCATCATGGTTTTTAGGTGATTCTCCTCGAACTTCTTCTTTATCTTTCTTCAGCTTTTTGGAGATCTTTACAGGTGTTTTAGGATTTTCACTGTGGGCTACCTCTACTGGATTTTTTAAAGAAGTTTTGGATGCCACTCTTAACTTCTGAAGCGAATATTGCAGGAACGGCTTTATCTTTTTAGGAGAAAATTTGGTACTTTTAGCAACAGTCCTTTTTCCTTTTAAAGGTGTAAATATAACCTTTGAAGAATCAGCAGTCTGTACTCGAAGTTGGCTCATATTTGGCATTGGCTGAGAGGTGTACATATTATGTGATGTAGTTGCTCTCGGAGGACTTTTGAGATTGCTGCCATAACTTGTAAGACTCATTTTGCTCCGTCGAAAGTTCTCAGCTCTGGAAAAGCAATTTCTTGCTTTTGAATTTCCAAAGCCATTCATTGTGTTGCTCATAGGCTTATTTAACATTCTCCCGTTAACTTTTTCGCTAGCTTTTGAGATGGCTTCTCTTAAGTTTATAGCTTTCCCAATGACTGGTCTTTTTGCTTTTATTGGAGTCGGAGAATTACTAGTCATATCGGATTTGATTAATTTACTATTCGTATTATCCTTAGACAATTTGTAAGTAACCTGACTCTGAGACCTCCTTGTAGTGAGGAATGCAGTCCCTGCTCTACTTGTTTTATACATCTGTAATTGTCTTAGCATTTTGTTATTCTTATTGCTCAAAAATTTAGTATTCATCAACCCTTTTGGTTTAGCTATTCCAGTCATTTTGAACAGTTCTCATTTCTTAATAGAAGGTTTAACAGCAGATTTAGTAAATTGAGAGAATCCTTTAAAACCTTTATCGGGTGACAGGAAATTATTCATAGTAATTCCGAAACTTTTCATGCCTTTTTTGTTAATATTAAATACTTGTTGGCGCATACGAGCACTACTTCAGCCAGTGACGCCAGGAATATATTTATTTTGCAATTTGTCCATTTCCAAGCACGCTCTTCTTTTTGCCACTATTGTTGTCAATTAAGTAAGTTTTTCCTGTGTTTTGGTCACGCCTATTAGTCAAGGAGTCTGGAATTACCACATTTGTAAGTTTTCTGTCATTTTCAATTATTTTTATTCCTATAGGGGTTTTGGGGTTTTGGGGTTTTGGGG